CAGTGCTAAGGAGTAGACCAGTAAAAGCTTTCTGAGGGGTAGGGGCTTAGCAATGACCCTGTTTGGACACAACAGAAATAAATAAATAAATAAATAAATAAATAAATAAATAAATAAATAAATAAATAAATAAATAAAAGGCTGAGCATGTTGGCACATGCCTGTAATTCTAGTCCTTTGGAGGTAGAGGCAGGAAGATCAGGTGTTTGTGGCTGGCCTTGGCTATAAGGTGAGTTCAAATCCTGACCTTCCTGCATCGGACCCTGCCTCCAAAAACCAAGGCAAAGCTGGAGAGGTAGATCAATTGGGAAAGTGCTTGCCATGTAAGCATGAGGATCTGAGTTGCATGCCGAGAAGTCAAATAAAGATAGACACGGCAGTGCACGTCTGTAATCCCAGCTCTAGAGGAGGAGGGAGGTGAATTCCTGGGCCTGCTAGCTAGCCAACTTGGCTTCACCAGCAAGTTCAGTGGAAGGCTACATCTCACTGTCTCAAAAAACAAGGTGAGGGGCACCCGAGGACCTTGAGACTGGTCTCTGGACATCCCAGGCAGGTACACACACAAACACACGTACATACCTGCACACATAAATCGAACCGAAGGAAAAAAATTTAAAAATACTAAAATAAAAGGCCTGGCTTTGTTTTCAGCAGTTTTAAATTTTCTGTGGATGAATCACCACCTGCTTCCCTGCATCTGTTAGGTGTTCAACCTGCACCAGTCCTGGGTGAAGCTGCTGGTGGGGCCACCTGTGATATGCACTGACCCCTCTGCTCAGAGACACCCTGCTTGCTGGCTCACCTTTGGAACTTGTCTTTCATCACCAAGGCAGCAGCTGCTGAGGTCACTGGGGCCAGCTTGATCCCCATCATTCTCCATCCCATCTGCTACAAGGCTTCCTGTGCAGTGCAGCCCCTGCCCTCACCCCATGTGGAGATAATGCTGCCAGCTGCACAGTAGGTACTCAATGTGCACTCCCTGAAGAAGAAGAAACACAAGGAGGAGGGTGCATACACAGGGGATGGGGGAAGGGGCGGGGAGGGGACTTGATGGGTGACCGCTGAGAGGAATGTAGTCTGTCTCTAAACCTCCCACAAAAAAAAGAGAGAGAAGCCAGATAGATGCCTGAATGACCACCAAGCAACTAATCTGCTACCAAATGAGATTGAACTGTCCCCAGATTAGAGACCAGAACATTCCACTCCCAGCATGATGTAAAAAACCCTTTAAAATCAACTCAAAAAGCAAGCTCAGAGCACTCAGCAAGACTGCAGAGTAGAACCAGATAACTTGGGACCAAGGTTCTGAGCACCCACCAGGCTTGGGATAGTTGTAGAACAGTGGGGATCACTTTTATCTAAAGACCTGACAAAGAAAGTTCTTCTGGACTTTGAGCTGCTGATCCCTGCCATTTAAGGATAAGTCCTTTGAGAAGTTCGTTAAATCTGCATTGTGGCCAGGCAGTATTTACAGGGGAATTTAGCATGTGAGGTATAACAAAGTTCCTCAAGGTTTTCATTCAACCCATTGTAAATACTTGAGAAATGGCAGCCAGATCCCATCTAAGGACTGTAAACTACTACCTCCTCCTGAGCTCTCAGGCATACCCTGGACTCCCTGTGATACGTCTGCCACCTGCTCAGTAGATCAATCTAACAAAGACCAGCAGGTATCCTCAACAAAGGGAAGATGGCCATGTGTGGTAGTGCACACCTGTAATCCCAGCACCTTAGAGGCAGTGGATCAGAAGTACAGGATCATCCTCTGCTACACGGCTGCTTGGGGGCCAATCTGGGCTACATGGGACCCTGTCTTAAGAGGACGAGGATGAGGTTTAGTAAAAATGAGATGTGCATAACGAGAAGAATTGCTTTCCACTTTGTGTGGACAAATTCCTGTGTAATTCAGAGAGAGGCCTTGCATGTGTTCGCACTGACTGTGTGAGAGCACCTGAGGCCCCCATGCTGCTCTTTCCTAGCTTTCTCCCTTATTTTCGAAGGGAGAACAAGGCAGGATTTTACTGTGGCCTGGATTCTATCTCTAGTCACAAAAGAGAGAGGCAAGAGCTGAGGCCAAGCCAGCCAGATTACTGGGAATCACCAAGTGGTTTCCTGGCCTTTTTCACAGTGTGTGTTGCAGAAATAACTCTCTATGGTAGTGGGTAAACAAGCAAATCACACTTCCTCCTAGATGACTGTCCTCTTTAAGATATTGACATGTGGCTAAGGGCAAATAATAGATTTGGAAGTTCTTTTGTGGAAGACCAAGAAATGTCACCTAAGAAATAGAGGCAAATATCTGTGGGTCAGAGTAGTTAGCAAAGTGTCAGCTATTCATTCAGTCTGTATCTTTTTTAAAAATTCATCTATGTATATTACATCCCAGCCACAGCCTCTCCCTGCCCTCCCCCCACCATCCTCCCCTCTCAGGCCCTTTCTCCCATTTCCCCCTCCTACTTCCTCCCCACTCCCCTCTTCTTCCATCTCCATACAGGAAAGAGCAGGTCTCCCATGACTATCAATAAAATATGGAATATCAAGTTGCGATAAGATGAAGCACCTCCCCATGTATTAAGTCAGCTGTGTCTTTAAGCAGCAATAATGGGACATGCTGGAAAACTCCTGTAGGGTGCTGAGTTAATGAAGGACTTGGTCTTAGAATGAATAGTCACAGGTTTAGACTAGGAGAAGGTTATAAAACAATGTTAGCCCACATTGCCATCCAAAACCAAAATGCTGAATCAATGTTATAACTATTAAGACGTGACCTGCTTTTAGAAACCTAGATTCTCTAGAGGTACAAGGGTAGTACTGACCTCCATCAAGCATAACACCATAGCCCTGGAGCCAAGAACACCACCTTCCTAATTCCTTACCAGTCTGGCTCTTCCTTTACTTTAGGAGTGAATTGAGAGTCCTAAGTAGGTCCTCAAAGAAAGAGGAACTGGGAGATGCTGATAGTCAAGAAGTATGCCTCTCCATTGTTCTCTGCCCCAGAACTCATATCTTCATTCTAGTAGACACAGCCTTCTAGGACCCTATCTGTCAATAGGACCCATAGAAGCACCCTACACCCCACAGCACACAACACTGACAGCAGTTGGCTCTGCATTTTCAACACTTCTCAAATCCATTGACCCCAAGCCAGGACCAGCACAGTCCCTATATCCCTTTCTTGTCCTGGAAATCCAAGTTTGATTGCTGAGTGGTCCCCCAACACCACTGCTCATTGTCTACAAAATTGTCTTATGTTGTCTTCTCTGTTTTCCCCAAAGAATGCCAAAGAAAATCCCATACCATTTGGCCTCACAGGACTCTATCTTCTCTATCCTGCCTCCCACACCCCTGGCTCTAGGCTCACTGTCCTACATTCATTCTCTTGTCCACAAGGCCTTGACATATGCTCCTTCTCACATGGACACCACTCTTAGCTATATTACCCTTAGAGCAGTCAATCTGTGGGTCGAATGACCCCTTCGCAGGGGAGATGGATGAGTAGATAGATGGATGGGTTGGTGGATGAATAAGTAGGTAATGGATTGTTGGTTAAATTAGGTGAATGGGTTGATATGGTGGACGGTATTGTATGGACACCTGATAAAAAGGTATGAATGAATCCTTGGGAACGTGGTCTTGAGATTTCTTTGTAAATTCCAGCCTTGGCCTACCAGACCCTGAACCCCGGATAACATTCCCCTAAAAACCGTGCCTAGATGACATCCTGAATCCCCATAAAGGCTCTGTCACTCCCTTTCTCTCTCTTCTCCTTCCCTCTTGCCCTTCCTTCCTCCTTCTCTCTCTCCCCCTGCCTCTCCCTTTCAGTGTCTCCATACTCTCCACTTCCTACTGGTTCTGGGATCTGTGGTGACACAAATCTGCTATTTCATGTGTTCTGTTGGGTTGCTTCCTTAGTATGTCACAATCACACTCCAGTCCCAGTCAGACAGTGGTCATCTTGGGAGGAAGAAACTGTATCTATGTCAATGAATAGCGACCAGGACTTTTGCCTGTTTCACTCTTGCCTGTGGAAGGGGCACAGGGTCTGGTAGGCCAAGGCTGGAATTTACAAAGAAATCTCAAGACCACGTTAGAGAATAGTGTAATAACCAGCTGGCAGGGACAGAGGAGAGCTCAAGAACTGCCTAGTGTCCTGCCTTAGCTGGGAGGACTCTGTGGTTGGCTTTTACCATGTCTTAGGAGGCTGGGCTCATTAGATCACCTATGTGGGCTCCTTCTGACAGTGATTCACTTGATGTCTTAATGGATCACTTACTCCAAAAGTTTGTCTCTGAGTCTAGCTGGGTGGGATGGAGTACGGTGACGTGGTGGTGGCAGGAGACAATTAAACCTAGTTTCCGCCATCTCGTGACTGGCTTGGGTAAATTTACCCTTTGATTCAGGGCCTTTAGTCCAGGTGCCTGCCATGGCTCTGCCTTTGAACTCCCCCTAAGCCTTGGGGTAGGAGACATGCAACACTTTCCTCAAGAGAGGTCGGGTCCATTCTCCTGTCTCTCTGACCTTTCTTGTGACCCTGCCACTTCACAATGCTCTAGGAAACCCTGAAAACGGCCTATTTTCACCCAATTTGGTTTAATGTTCTCAGAGAGCTTGGCATTGTTGAAAATCCAGAAATTCCCACGTTCCAAATCCTATTTAAAAACCGCCTATCTATTTAAAGTTCATGATTGGAAGAATAAAAGAAAAAAATGACTCCAAAAACAGGAGGAGGGGGGCACAAGATAGGAAAAAGGCAGATCCAGTTTGCTTCTAAAAAAGGCTGAAAACTGGATCTACCCATGGCCTTGTGCCTCAAGTCTCACATATTTTTCTTTCTCTTTTGGTGGTTTGCAATCTGAAATGGAATTTTATTATGGGTTACTTGGATGATCCTTTTCAAGTCCCTAGCCCCCAAAGCCTCTGCTCACTAGACAGCATGCCACTGGGGCTCCTCACGCTATGGGAAAGTGAATGGACCCAAAATAAAGCAGCCATATCTCTTGGCTCCTCTGTACTCCCCATCGTGTTTCCGCGGCTCCGAGCCAGAGACCAGCCACATGGTCGTCCTGTGAACAACAAAACCGTGATGAAGGCAGCAGGAGTCAGAATGCTATTCACGGCAGGAAGCCCCAGCATCCGGTGAGAAATAAGAAGTACTAGAGCACAGGATGCGCCCTGGGTCAGGGGGACGTAAAAAGCCTGGAGTCTGTAACCTTCTCTGCGCCAGAGCTGTCGTGGCTTTGCAGCAGAGGCACAGCCCTCAGCTCCCCTCAGAGCACAACCGGGTGCCAAGCTCCAAGCTCCAGTGGTGGCTGCTGTCATTGTGGGGGAGTCTAGCCGCTCCCAGAAGACGACACAGAAGAATGGCCACCTCAACAGGTTTGCTGCTGCTGCTGCTGCTGCTGCCGCTCCTGGGCCAGCCCCGGGCAGAGGCTGCTGCTGATTCAGAGGCTGTCGTATGCCAGGGGACTGCCTGCTATACTGCCCACTGGGGCAAGCTGAGCGCCGCCGAAGCCCAGCATCGCTGCAACGAGAACGGGGGCAATCTAGCCACGGTGAAGAGCGAGGAGGAGGCCCGGAACGTCCAGCAAGCCCTGGCTCAGCTCTTGAAGACCAAGGAAGCCTTGGAAGCCAAGATGGGCAAGTTCTGGATCGGGCTCCAGCGAGAGAAGGGCAAGTGTACGTACCATGATTTGCCAATGAAGGGCTTTAGCTGGGTGGGTGGTGGAGAGGACACAGCTTACTCAAACTGGTACAAAGAGAGCAAGAGATCCTGTACCTCTAAGCGCTGTGTGTCCCTGATACTGGACCTGTCCTTGACTCCTCACCCTAGTCACCTCCCCAAGTGGTATGAGAGCCCCTGTGGGACTCCTGATGATCCAGGTAAAAACATTGAAGGTTTCCTGTGCAAGTTCAACTTCAAAGGCATGTGCAGTCCCCTCGCCCTGGGTGGTCCAGGGCAGGTGACTTATACCACCCCTTTCCAGGCCACCACCTCCTCCCTGGAGGCTGTGCCTTTTGCCTCTGCTGCCAAAGTAGCCTGTGGGGATAAGGCTGAGAATAAGATCCGTTATTTCATATGCAATGAAAAGACTCCGGGTATATTCCATTGGGGCAGCTCAGGCCCCCTCTGTGTCAGCCCAGAGTTGGGGTGCAGTTACAACAATGGGGGCTGTCAGCAGGACTGCTTCGAAGGTGGGAATGGCTCCTTCCGCTGTGGCTGCCGGCCTGGCTTTCGGCTGCTGGACGACTTAGTAACTTGTGCTTCTCGGAACCCCTGTAGCTCCAATCCATGCACAGGAGGGGGCACCTGTCACCCTGTACCCCTCAGCGAAAACTACACATGCCAGTGTCCAAACGGCTACCAGCTGGACTCTAGCCAAGTACACTGTGTGGATATAGATGAGTGCCAGGACTCCCCCTGTGCCCAGGGATGTATCAACATTCCCGGAGGCTTCCAGTGTGAATGTTGGGTGGGCTACCAATCCAGTGGCCCCAAAGCGGAGGTCTGCGAGGATGTGGATGAATGTGCCCACTCGCCCTGTGCCCATGACTGTGTCAACACTGTTGGCTCTTTCCACTGCTCCTGTAAAGATGGCTATGCCTTGTCTGGGGAAGACAGTACCCAATGTGAGGATATAGACGAGTGTTTGAACTCCAGCAGCAATCCATGTGACACCTTTTGCTTCAACTCGGAGGGTTCCTTCAGCTGTGGCTGCCTGCCAGGCTGGGAGCTAGCTCCCAATGGAGTCTCTTGTATCAAGGGTATTGAATCTTTAGAACCACCAACGAAATCTCCCCAAAAGGAAGGCAAAGGTGATAGAAAGGGAAGTACTATGCCTCCTTCTGAAATGCCCAGTTCTTCCAGAGGCTCCGAGAACGTCTCCAAGGGAGGACACACCACAGATCATCTCTCCCTCCCATCGGATACTCCCAATGTCTCTGTTCCACCAAAAATATCAGTCCCTAGTGAGGCATCTGATGTCTGGATGGAGTTGAGTACACACCTCCCCACGGCCACTGGCCACAGCAAGCCCACACATGAAGATTCTGTGGCGGCACACAGTGACAGCGACACCGATGGGCAGAAGCTGCTTCTGTTCTACATCCTGGGCACTGTGGTGGCCATCTCACTCTTGCTGGCTCTGGCCTTAGGGCTTCTCATTTATCGTAAACGGAGAGCCAAGAAGGAGGAGATAAAAGAGAAGAAGCCCCAGAATGCAGCTGACAGCTATTCCTGGGTTCCAGAGCGAGCCGAGAGCCGAGCCCTGGAGAATCAGTACAGGTAAAGAAGCCAGAGGTTACTTGGGTAGCTGGGTGGGCAGATGTGGGGTGGGAAGCACAGATCACAGTACTGAGGGGGCAGAGACAGGAACAGTCAGCTGGCCATTTGATGTTAAACCCAACCTCCCCAGCTCAGTCCCAGGGGAGCCTATCCTGTAAGTGTGTGTGGAGTGGAGGCAAGGGACCAAGGTGTTGATGTGACAAGGTTCCATGGCTTCCAACACTGTAATCTTTTGTTTCCCACAGCCCAGCACCTGGGACAGACTGCTGAAGACAATGTGGCCATGGAAACACAGGCAGCTGCCACTACTTTCAGAACTTTCCACTCCCGGATGAGGGGGAGATCTACATCATTCTGAAAGACTGGACTGGACTCTCAGCAAAGAATGGGCACTGTCCCCATAAGAGCCTGGTGACATGGGATGGGCAGGTATTCTCCAGCTGCATTTGCTATGTCTGGGCCTGAAAACTGTGTGTTGGTTTGTCTTTGTGGGGAGTTTTGTAGATATTGACAAGCCTCACTCACATAACCCTTTCAAATCCAAAATCAACTGATTTAATGTGTTCTTCTGGTTCCTGATCAGGACTTGAGGAGTCACAAGGGTGGGACAAGTGGGGGTGGGAGGGCTTCAAAGACTTTTCTTATCTCTTCATTCATCAGAGAAGAAAAGGAGCTACTGGTGCTAATTAGGATGGAAACAATTCCTTTTCCTTCTTAGGGTAGAGAACAAAACCATTTAATTATTTAACTGTGTGAGAAGAAGGCTCGACCCTTCCTATGTGGGACTTTTTCAGGATGGCTGTCTTTGTATACATTTGCTGTCTGGCATTTCCCCTTAATCCCCCTCAGTATTGTTGAAACTGTCAGAATGAGAGGAAGTTCAACCAACTGCTTAGGGAGCAAGCAGGCAGGATGTTTAGACATCCTACCCCCTCATTCTTAACTTTCTGATGGTCTTGGGCTTATGGGCAAGTACAGATGGGAACTGGAAAGTTGCTTCAAGTGAGTGAGAGGCCTTGGTAACAGTATAATCCAGGGGGAAGCAGCAGGGATTAGGTTAACAGATATTCGAACTAAATTTTCTGAATGGACTGATGTTAACACACACTTGACTACTGAGAAACAATAATAAAACCCCAGGAACAATTTGCCTTTGAGCCAGCACAGGCCCCCACCCCACTTCAGGGCATCCTGTCTCCCCTCACCCCACCCCTAACTGGGAAGCTTGGATAGGGGGGCTTTTCTTCTGACTGTAGGGAAAAGATGTGTGAACCAGGTGATGGGCTTTGCTTTGGACACTGTCACTTAAATGGAACTTAACCCAATTCACAGTTAAGAGTGCATCTGGAGGACTTTAGCCCTGTTTTGTGGGTGTGGCACACATCAAACCAAGGACTAGTCACACAGAAGGTTCTCTCTGTTTGCTTAAAAAAAAAAACGGAGATACAGAGGAAAGGGGAAGGGAAAGAGAGAGCAGCGAGGCTATTTTCCAACCGTTAAAACTGCTTAGAGCCATTTTATGATTGACATGTTTATTTCAAAGTGTACATTTGCAAAAGTGTGCCTTAAGCTTGTTGCTGCTGGAGATGTTCCAGCTACACTGGTATGTCTGGGTCCTGTAAGGCAGTCCTGGTGAGTCACTTCAGCATCTCTGGGAAGCCTTCAGTATCATGGAGGTTTTTTTTTTTTTTTTCTGCCTCTGACATTTGGAAAGCTGAGACATGGAAAGTGTCTCCATCATGGGATCCAGAGTCTTTGTTCTCAGATCAGGATGCCCTTTCAATTCTGGTTTCAAATGCATCCATCCTTCAAATTGATCTGGGGAGTGAAGATGAATAATGGCCACATTCAAGGCCTATGGAGTTAAGGAAATATCTTAAAAAAATAAAAACAAGACAAAACTCTCTCTCACACACACAAACACAAGTTGAAGAATGATGGGAGAAAGACAGAGCTCAGTGGGGTGCCTGAAATCTGTGCATTTAAAAATCAGCTCACCATCTGGCTTTCACTTGGAACTTGGGTGTTTAAAACCTAAGGGAGATCAAAGCTATATCTAATTGGTAAGAAACTTCATTGGCCCTAGGACCCCTGGCAATAGTTGAGATTGGCAGCCAGTCCTTTACAGAGACCAGCACCCACCATGCGGATAATTTTAGATAGATGGCAGTATCTGTACATACAGACATGAACCCAAATACAGCACTTTCGCCTCCAGGCCTTCTGCTGCTCACTCTTATGGCTTGAGGTGAGAAAGATAAACTAAATCTAGGTTTCCGATAGCCTTGCCTGGTCTATGCTCAGACTGCTGTGTGGGGACTTAAACTAACGAAGACCACTTAGGGTATAGACATGAAACCCTATCCCCAACACCTTCAAGGGCACTGGATCCTTGCCGTGAAGACTCCCAGAGAGGAAGAGGTTAATGAACATATTGCCTCAAAGTGTGCTTTCAGCATCAGTCCCACCCATGGAGGCAGAGCTCTCTCATCTACTGACCTGGCACAGCCTTGTGCACAACCATACCTCAAGTGTCCAGGCCAATAAAGCCACTCACTGCTCCTAAACAGGTGCTTCATTCTCTCTTCTACCTTTTTGCTGTTGTGGTGTTTGAGACTGGAAAATTTGGGGTTAGAGCATCTAAGAGGCCAAGCAGTAGATAAGTGAACTTCCACTGGCCCCCATCACCCAAGAAATCAGTGAGCAAGGACAAAACAATCCCCTGCCTATGAGGATGAGAGAAGAGTCTGCTTGGCAACAGAATTTTCCTAAGTCCATACTTGGAAAAACTGTATTTAGAACCAACTCATCTCCTCCTATTCTTCATTTTCCAAAAAATTCCAGAGAATTTAGGGGCCATGCCTTCAAGCCTTCAGCTCTCTCATTCCTTAATTTCAGGTGACCATCATTCATTCCTTTTTGTCTTTTATGTGGTGCTGGTGATGGAAGCCAGTGCTGTAAGTATACTAGACACGTGCTTTCCAGGAGCTATACCCCAGCCACATAATTATTTTTTGTTCATTAATAAAGATAGGTGATATAGTACATCCCCCCCCCCACAGTAATATGAAGAGCTTAGAAAATGAACTACTCAGAAAAAAACGCCTTGGGAGCGACTCCTGAATGCTATCTGTAAAGGAAATCTTGCCCTCGTTTTCCCTGCGATCTAGCTAGCATGGCTCTGATGCAAACCCAGATGTATCCATCTTCTGGCTTTGGTGACCCATACATCTGTACCATGACCATCACTATCACCATCATCATAGCCACTTCATAGCACTGTGCATTCTCATGGCATTTTCTCAGTGACAGTAACTGGATGAATCCCACCTGGCTCTGACTGAGAGCAAAAAGGCCAGAAAGAAAAGAAGCAGGAGGCACCCACTGCTTTCTTTCTTTCTTTCTTTCTTTCTTTCTTTCTTTCTTTCTTTCTTTCTTTCTTTCTTTCTTTCTTTCTTTCTTTCTTTCTTTCTTTCTT